TAAAGTCAAACGAGTTAAACGCGTTAGTAACGAATCGTTCGAAAAGTCTAACGAAATAGGAATAACGATGACGCCGTTCTCGTTTAACTCGTTCGACTTTACGAACATACCCAATGTTAACTTTACATTCCAAGTTTTTCTTTTCTTGTTTGATGCAGAAGAATTAGTTCTACTTCGTTTGGATGACATAGTAGAGTCTCTCGAGTCTCCGTAGATATAACAAACACAGAAATAAATAACACAAAATAAATTGTAGCTTAAAAGTGAAAAAATATTATTGGACTTCACGCCGAATATTGGATAAGCAAAGTTGAGAAAATTATCATCTAGGCGTTACCGGCCGTGTTTGCCATATTTTTAGGCAGCATGCACTCTTCCTGCCAGTGTCGCCGCGGCCAAACCTTAGAAGAGTGTTATGCAATGACAGGGATCCTTTGTCTGTGCTAGAGCGGTCTGGAGTGTATTCCATCCCATTGGAAAGTACAGTACAACATCTGGTACTCATACCCAGTATATCGGAGCAACATCCAGAATGTTGTCTTGTTGCATCTCTGAACACAAACAATCTATTAGCACGGGTAGATGCGACACTGAGTTGGCAAGATTGGTGTTGCAACACCAATACACTCTGAGGTGGGACCAGGTGGGGATACTCAAACAGTGTGATAGCAGAAACATCCTGTATATATGGGAGGCACTGTTTACCAGCGTGCTAAATCCATGCAACACCCCCACGCTGGATGTGCCTTCCTTGTGGGTCAACTTATACAACAGATTAAAACAACGTCGCTAGCTCCGCATTCTCGCAAAATAATCTATTGCTCATGTGCGTCAGCACTGAGCGCACATCTTTTAAATTCTCCATTTTAGTTCTATTTCAATTTTATTCCAATGCTGGTTTGCCATTGCTGTAATTTGAATTTGAAGGATATTAACTGTTCTTTTAACCTGAAGAAGACGAAAATAGTTTCGTTGAAAGCGCTTGTTGTTTATAGCAATAGATGTTGGTTATTAACGCCTAGATGATAATTTTCTCAACTTTGCTTAAATTGTAGCTATGTGTGGATTCCATGCAACACATCTGAACATGTAAGCTGAACAATAGTGTGGGGGGAGTGAGTAAATCAAGGGTTGCATGGCACTCAAACAAAAGACGAATCGACGCGATTTGAAAATCATGTAACTCCGGGTTCGCGTAAGTCGGGCTATTACTGTATAACAGAGGAAAAGTGTAGTGATTGGTCAAAAGAATGATCCCCCCTCCCAAATTTTTACATTTTTGGACTCTGGAACCTTGAAATGACAATATATGCAAAAGATTAAGGGTTTTTTTTTTCTGTATGTATGGATGTTAGACTGTGTGTGAGGGACACGATTTTGTTCACCCTGTTTGAAGCTTAATAACTTCTGTGGTTTTTGAATCAGAGTTGGATGATTTAACAACAGGAGTTATTATGTTCAGAGTGGTTCAACTAAATCATGCCTCCACACATTCTAACATCTCAGGCAAAAACATCTTAATTGGGTTTTACTGTACTATTATAAAATGCCAAAATCTTAATTTTGAGAGTAGAGATGAGTTTTATAAAAAATTGTGAACATTAATAATGAGTAAAATATTCATTAAGGCTGACCACACTAGAGGTATGACACATGACTCCTGTCTCCACCCTGTTGACCTTTAATTAAGAACCAAAATTTAATAGCATTAATGCCTCTTTGAACACAAGCTAACATGCCAAACTTTGTTTCTTAAAGTTTACTCATTCTGAAATATTGTTTAATATATACTTATATTATAATGTTTAATATTTATTTATTATATACTTAACATAGGGTTTACATCAGATTCATGCAATTAAATTTGGAATTTGGATTCCTTCACTTCATATGCTTTTCAGTCCAGATAAGTTTCTGTCTATACAGTTCACATGGATGGTTTACATGGATGGGATTTTAAACCTATGTTACAAGTAAAGTTCAAATTTACCACATACACCAGTTAAATTCAAATATATATTGAAAGAAAACGTATGTACAGTTACAAAGGTTCACAAAACAAACATTTACAAAACTTCAGATGTTAACAAAGTTCAACGCATTTATCCACTACAACAGGTCCGTCGAAAAGACACCTTGCAACGAACTAACACTAGTCCTTTACAGTCCAACGAGACGAGACAAGCTTCGGGACCAGCTTAGGCGAACTAAAACCAAACGTGAGTCCACTTTCCGAGTCCACAGTGAACTCAGACAAACGTGAGTTCCATAGATGTATTCCAGGCGAACTGAACTTCCCACCACAACTCAATCCTTCTATAGGATTGAAGCAGAATTGGATTCCACCAATCAGAACTTAGCAGCTCTACAAGACGTCAGCCGATGGCGTGATGTTGCTCAACCAATGAGCGGTCGAGTCTTCAAAAGTGGTCTGATCACTGTTTCTATGGCGACAACCGTCGTTAGTCAAACGATTGGAAAAGCGCGGGAAAACTGTGCGCCAGACGATTTTTATCCCGACATTACACATCTCTAGTCACACAGTTCATGCACTTGCTTTTATGCCTACCTGCTCTTCTCACTCTTCTTTTGGTTTGGAAGAATTAGCAGTATGTTCTTATAACTGAAACACTTCAGCATCCTATCCTGGCATGACATTCTCACCATTTACCTTCTGATTCAGCTTTTCTTTTAGTGTTGTCATCTCCTTTGTAACAAATGCACAATGGTTGATTGATGACAATGCACTGTCTCCACTATTTTACAAGAGAATAAACTTTTAGCTTCAATTATGAAGTTTTTATATGGCACTAACTGTCAAAAACTTTCCATTTTGCTATAAAACTGGTGCCAAAAGCCACCTTTCTATTTTATAGTAATGGATGTTGCAAGCACCAGAAACATTGCTTTATCAGTAAGTGTTCTCATGTTTTTTGATGTCATGGATGATGCAATACTTATGATTTCTTGCAGACCTGCAATAAAGTGATAATAAAGTAAACATTTTTGTAAGATTTTAAGGCTGATACTATTTCCACAGCCAGAACTGTAGGTACATTAATGCTTTATAATGATGATCTAATTTATCTTACGTAAAAAACATTACACAAATTATCATATTGTAAATAATTGTTCAGTTATGAAAATGCTTACTTTTAAGGATATTTTGATATAAGATGATAAATAAGAAAGATATCATTATTATTTATTTTTGACCAAAACAAACGGCAATTCCATTTGACACAAAAGGCCTTTCCCAAAAAGAAATTTAACTACACTTCATAAAATACAAAACAAAACATCAAAACACATAATGATATGTGATTAAATCAGTATCAAACAGAAATCTGGAATAAGAAACAAATATAATATGTCTTATATAAAATGAAGATCAATAGACAGGTGGTGCTCATTTATAATGTATGTTAACTGAACTTTTAGGATACAAGACCAAAATATCCATTATTGACTTTCTTCTAGTGTGTTATCTATCTTGATTTTCTCTCTGTAGATTGATATATATTCCACTTATGTTAAATTTATGTTCCAGAATTGATTCATTTATTTCCACTTATCCTGTATATATAAATATATAAAAAACAAGTAGGTAATTTTTAAAAGTAAAAGTCATACTGGTTAGAGAAGACAAAAATATATATATATATATATATATATTTAATGTTTATTATTTGTTGCTGATTTTATATAATTTTAACAATGTAGCATTTTATTAATAATAAATAGGCATTTCAAACTTTTTACAGTAATAAATTTTACTTTTAACAGTAAATATTTTTTATATAGATAGATATTATGCTAAAATTAAAAGATGTAAAATTATTTTTCATCTTTTAAAACAAGTTAACAAGCAAATTGTTTTCATTATTTGTTTGATATGAAAATATTGTCACGGAAAAGTTACAAGAGAAAATTCAGACAAAAGTACTGTATTTACAGATGCAGACTTCATACAGAAAAAGGAATAAAATCAACTAAAATCACTAACAAGTAAGATTGACTAAAAAATAATAATAATAATAGATAACACTAAGAACAAAATAATTAGAAATAGCTGGCCAAAATGGTTCAACCAGTTTGACAAAAGAAAATTTCAAAATCAAATAGTGCAGGGGTGGCCAATAGTTTTTGCCCTTGGGCCGAATTGAAGAGAGAACTTTTTTCACGGGCCAAACCAGAGGCTGCCCTAGGAAGATTTTGAGGTGGTGTGAGATCTCATTGTGGTGTCACCCCGTAGAGACTAAATTGTACATAGAGATTACAGATACATTTTTCACATTATCATGCATTATTAACATTCTACATTGTACTTAAGAGATTTGCAATGGAGCATTAACTCTACACACACAATGAGTTGTTGACCTGTTTTTTTTTTTTTATTTTTTATTATTATTTAGGCTTCAGAATTTTTCATCGAGCTATTCGGACTTGAGTAGCTAATATTGAAAGATTAATCACGGGCCATATAAATTCATTAGACGGGCCATATATTGGCCATGCCTGAAATAGTGTCATAAGCACGTTTACCATTCAAACAACTTTTTTTTTTTAAAGTTATTCCAGGGCTTTATTTGATCGGTTGATGGTCACAGCAGCAGTCCATTTCATTATTGTTATTTTACAAAAATATTAGATTACCAATATGAAAAATTGCTATTTTACTATTAATTTTGGAAATTTAAAAAGTATATATTTCATAGAATGATTTTTTCCTGGAAAAACTTCATTCATTTCTATAAAATTATCTCTCTGTAAATATATATATAATGAATGAGCCAATAAAGCCACATTATAGTAGTCTAAAATCATAAAAATAAACTAATATATGATTTTGATATGGATAACAGTTATCATATAATTAATGAAATGGATAACTTTGTTATAAACTTTATTAATGCAAGATTTAAAATAAATAATGTATAGTTTATTTAATGTAGTTTTTATTGATGATAATTTTTATTTAATATGTGTTTTTTTAATAGGATGATGATAAAGATGATGATGATTTGGATCAGTTACAATGGCACACTACTCTCAATCAACATTTGATAAATAATCTTAAAGGTTAGTTTTTTATCAATTTAATTTTTGCAGTTTTTATACAGTTTAATATTATCAATGTTGTTAAGATTTTTGTTAAATAATCAAAATTATTGTTAAATTATCTTTACAGAATTCTATAATCAAAATTTAATTTTGATTATCATTTTTTATTATAATATTTATAAAATTCTGTGATATAATTCAATAATAATTTATAAATTACTATGTTATCAATTCTTTTTATTTTATATTTGTGTCTTATGTTGAAGATGCTTGTTAATGCAGTAAATTTATTGATTTATGAATTGTTATGAAATCGTTCTTTTACATCAGCCTGTTGAATGATGTATGATTAAAGAGTAATAAATCATTTAAATTAATTTTCTATCAAAACTACTAATATATATTAAGATTAAGCTTAATATAAGTACATTTAATCTTTAATTGATTGATTGATTCATTCATTCATTCATGGGTGTTTTGTCCTAGGACAGGTCCGTGGAAAGCAATCAAATTATAGAATTCTCCTTCTCCAACATTCTCTATTTCGGGCTTCCTCTTTTATTTCTTTATAAGTTTTGCCTAGTAAAACATCATCTATCAATACTTTTCTTTTTCTTCCTCTTTGTTTCCTTGCATCAATTTTTCCTTCTAATGCCACTCACATTAATTGATTAACAGACCAATTAAAGATTAAATGTATTTATATTAAGCTTAATTTTAACATTTATTATTAGTTTTAATAGAAAATAGTAAATTTTCACAAGTTATAAGTCGCAAGAAAATAGTGTATTTTCAAATAGTACAAGTTTGTATAATTTTTAAACAAAATTTTCCTAATTAAATTAATTATATTTAAAAAATAACAATGTTCTCCACAGTTTTGTTGATATTTTTTCATAATGTTTAAATTTTAGCTGAACTCTACTTAATTATTATTTGGTTTAAAAGTTATGATAACTGTTGTTTTCTGTCTGTATTACAATTGTTTAAAAAATTAGAAATATAATTACTTTTTTTAATAAAAATTAGAACAATACTATTATGTAGATGAAAATTGTGTTATTTTTAAAATGCTGAATTAATAGACTGCACTGAATTAAACATTTTCTGTTCATTGCATTTAAAATATTATATTTGAGATAATTTTTCAATTCTCTGAACATGTTTTTATCAAGCATGTCAGTAGCAGGTGGCTAACAACACAAACATCAGCAATTTAGTTCATTGTACAGTTAAGCTCTTTAAAGTTTTTAAAAACTATAATTTGAAAAAAAAGAGGCTTCATGCCTTTACTGAATCAAGAAACATTTCAAGATAGAGCTATATTAGCAAAAGCACTATTTTTGAAAAATGCTTTTAACTTAGGTATTTCTTTGATTTTTAAAATTATTTCAAAAAAGATGAGCCCTTTATGTCCATTTTATGTGATGAGTCTCTTTTTGCCAGTGAAGTAATTTTAATATTAAAAAAAAAAATGTAGCATTAGAGAAACTGTTGTAGAGAAGATAGAAAACTGGAAAAAGAAAATCCAAATTAGTCTTGATACTGAAAACAAAACGAAATCTAGAAATGGATCTGAAAAGAAACATTTAATGTTATGTGTCTGCTTTTACTACATTACTTGTGCCAAATATTTACAGAATGAATTAAATGTCTTCACTTTTTCATACAGAATTGTCATCTGTACTATACGTAAGATACGTAGTTGCTAAAGTGTGAAACATTATTCCTACTGCTGATCTGTGTCTTCAAGTGAGAAAATTGATGCTGATGTTATTTTCTGTAATATTGATTGTCAAATTAATTTATTAAAGTATACATGAAAACTGTTTTATATTATAATTATATCCATTTTAATAAATTGTGCTTTGTTAACACTTAATAATTATCTTGTATTATTCAGGATTTATGTTGGCCATGAAAATTCCTAGAAATTCATAAAATTTTGCTTTCCTATCAAGAAGTTATAAATTTTATTGTAAGTAAAATTGCCAACAATCTTGAAATTAGCGCAACAGTCATCAAAATTATCATTTTTTAAAAAATATTTTTGATCTACTCTTGAAGGTCTTCAAGAAATTAAAACATAATGGCATTTTTGTTGAATTTTGAACAGAAAATTTTAATTTTGTATCAAATACAATTTAAATTGGCTGTCATGCACACACCTAGTTTTTTTTTTATGATTTTAGGCTCTTTATTGTTCAGAGAGCACAAAAAGGCTAGAGCACATACCTAGTAATATTATTGTTACCTAGTAATGTTATTATACCTAGTAGGATAGGTTATTGTTAAAGCATGCCTGCCATGCTTTTGTGATTACCCTTTCTTCTTTGTTGCTAATGCTGTGTTTTATTTGAAAATTTCATCTCTCTAATATGTTCCCCACATACCAATGTTTTTAACATAGAGGCTTGTCGATTGTCATATTTTTATATGATGTTCAGCATGGAAAAATCACCACCACCCTCTCCATCTATCTATACATTGGAAGCTGGGATTGTTCCATTTTTTCAACAAGCCTCCAAGTTAAAAACATTGGTATGTGGGGAACATATTAGGAAGATTGAAGCTCTTGAAATTTATATTTTTAAAAAAATAAGCATAAACAATATATTTAGAGGAATTTATGAAGTTTATTTGGATATCAAAGAATTTGTAATAATTTCAGTTTTTGAATTTAGGAAAATGATTTAATAATGTTATAAAGGAAATGGATAATAAAGGAAAATGTTTTAATAATGTCTAATAAATTTGCAAAAAATATTTTTTGGAATTATCTTGCAAATCATTTCTTATTGCTTTTTTTTTTTTAATTTTGATCATTACTTAAATATGAACAAATTATTATTATTTTTTTTTTACAGTTAGCCAGTTGTTATCTTTATCTATGTAATTATTTACTGTGTTTTGTCTTATTTTCTGTTATTTGCAATCAAATATTATTTACTGTAGAAATTCACTGGAATAATTATTGTGAATACATATTAAAAAGCAGTTTTTTGAAAGAATAAATTAAGTTCAAGTTGTAATTTAAACTAAACTGTTAGCAAAACTGTTTTATTACATTGCAAAGATATTCTTAAGAATTTGTTTTCAAACTGCTTCAGTGACGATTCAATAATAATAGATAATTAAGAGATAAAATCTTATCATCTCTTATATATCTCGTGTCTCATAAAATTATTGAGTACAGACTGAAGAGACTAGACTCAATGAGTTTTTATTCTTTTTGTATGCACTAAAAGGGTCCACAAGGCAGAAAAATTCCTGAGATTCCTTGCCTAGATTAGATCTCAGGTCTTAGAAATATAGAAGGTTATATAAAATTAGAAGGTTATAGAAATAATATAGTAATATAGTATTGTCTTCCAATGCAGCATGGCCACCCCTTTACTGCCTCAGCCATCCAGCCATTAATACTCAATGATTAAAAATCAAAAAGTTGAAAATCTGATGCAGTAAAATCATCATATTAATATTATTAAAATGGTCATGAACTAGTATACAGTAGTTCAAATTATCACAACTACAGATTTATTTAAAAAAGAAAATGTCAGCATAAAGAGAAAAATTCTCTGTAATTTGACTTCCTTTGGAAGTATTTGAAATTCTGCAGAAAAGTTTTTTGTTAAAATCAGTAATTAACCTTGACTGGTGAATTGCTTTTTGAAAAAAGATTCTGAACACTACAAAAGCATTTCCTCAGAAAGAAGACCCGAAGATTAAAGTCTTATATAAAGGTTAGCATGTCTGATAATAAGATCTTACTTCATTATGAATTTATTTTTGAAACTTGCAAACTTGATTTCCCTTAAAACCTTGATTTGTAAGTATTATCATAATATAAAGTTTTAAACAGAGGAGTGTTATCAATAAAAATCTAAAATGACCAAACAGTGAGTAGATAAATTACACTATTTTAAAGCAATGACATTTGTTTTATTTGCATTACTATATATTTTTTACAGAAATTTTATTATAGCTATAAACATTTCTTTCATCCTTCAACTTTCAAATGTTCCTTTGTTTAACATTTATTTGTTTATAAAATTAAATTGTATTATTGAAGAAATTTTTTTTACAGAGAGCATCATCTGTAAAATTGTAAGCTGCCTTATGGCATTGTGAATTGAAACTAAAAATAATTTAAACTTGTCAAAAAGGAATACAGAAAAATATATAAAAATATACATTTTTTGCTAATATTTTCGATAGTTTTGCATTATATTATCATCATCAGGCATATAGAATAGGAATATTAAGTTTTTTAATTTAAAGTATTACAAGGAATTTTTCATAAGTCAATTTATACTAATTATATAAAATAACATGTGGTAATTTTATATTATTAACAATTAATATAGTAATTAAAAATAAACTTTTTGTAAAGTTAATTATATCTGACTTTACTATAAAGTTCAAATGAATTATTACAAATTTTTAATAACAGATGTTCAACAGAAGTCCAATGTTTTACTAGAATCAAGGTCAATATGATCAAGCATCTGTAAAAATCACATATAAAGAATTTTTTAAATTTAGAATACAATACCAAAATAATAAACACACTTAAGTCATAATTATATAATAACCAAATCTTGCTAGATTTTACTGTATTATTTTGTGCTATTAAATTAATGTATCACTAGAAATAGACAGTCATAATCTCTCAATAACTTTATTGATTAGATAATTAGCGGTTATTTCGGCACAGTATTATCCAAGTTTTCTTCTAGATATATAATTAATTCAGAACTATCATAAAGTTTATGCTTTATTCAGCATAATAAACCTAATTTATACGTGTATAATATAAATTTTATATCAAACATATATCCAGAAAGAAGCTTAGCCAAGAGAGTTCATATTGGATAATTTTTAATACATTTGTTCAGTTTGCAAAACATGAAGAATTTATCTGTTTTCTAAGTTTAATTAGAACAAATGTAACAAATTAAATTCTAAATTATTAAACATACAATTCTTATTTTTTTTAAAATACCAAATTTCTTGAG